ATCCACGCACACGGTCCATTCACACTCGCACCGAGTCTTTTCTTTGCTTTTTCGAGTCGCGAACCTCCGGCGTCGTTGCCGGCCGGGGCGCGCGTCGAGAGTTCACAACAAGATGCAGATCTTTGGTAGGGGTTTCCTCGTCGAAGTGCGGCTCTACAAGGCGGTGAGGCCGTAATCCGTTTTGATGTGAGACGGCTGCATGCCGCAGTCGGGCGGGGGCCCCGAGAGGCCGTGGTGCATGCCCGCGTGCAGGAGGGGCGGGGGGCCCCCGGAGACCACGGGGTGGGGGGACATCATGCTGCTGGGGACGTGGGGCGGGGGGATGCCCGAGGACGCGGCGTTCCCGGCACTGTTTCCGACACTCTGACCACCGGCACTTTGACCGCCCGGCTGTTGCTGCTGGGACTGGGTCTGGTTCTTGGGTTGGTTCTTGCGGCGGACGTTCTTCGTGTTCGGGAGCTTGTTGTCCTTCTTCCACTTCATCCGGCGGTTCTGGAACCAGATTTTGATTTGGCGCTCCGAGAGGCAGAGGGAGTGGGCGATCTCGATCCTCCGCCGCCGCGTCAGATATCGGTTGAAGTGGAATTCCTTCTCCAGCTCCAGGATTTGGTGTCGCGTGTACGCCGTCCGCTGCCGCTTCGGCTCCATGCCGGGCGTGTACGTCCCATTTGCTGAAACAGGGAAAGCTGCAGTCTGTTACGCTCTTTGTCGCACGCCGAACCGTTCAGCGATTTTAATCATTTCATGCACGAGGGCCTTTCGAGCGAAACCGGCGATTTTACGAGTTCATCTCTCTCTTTCCTGGGAATAATCACTAAACTTTTTTCCTACCAATTTGAAAAATGCTCGCCCTCCTTCGTTTCGTGCTCTTAAAAAAAAGTTCTGGATTCTGCTCGGATTCGCGAGTGGTGAAGGGTTTAAATCATCTCAATTACCGAATCAATTATTAAGCGATCCTGCTATACTGCTTGAACTTTAAAAGTGGAAAGCTGTAGGCATACGTTCATTGCTTTCCACTT